TGTCTCAACTGGGAACTGACAATTCAGTTGACGATCTGACAAACACTCTAATTATGTTAATAAGTCAATATCCTACCAAATTCAGAGTATCGACTTTCTCGGGTTCTTTGAGCTATGAGAAGACAATTTTTTTCTTTAAAGCAGTCACTCGCACTTACCTTACATGTAAGATCATTTTCAATTATCACTTTGTAGCCTATTTGAACGAATAAATTTTTGAGATTGACACAGTCGATCTCGGTCCCTTGTCGTCGGGGCATTGACGCGAAATTCTCGTTGTTGATAATGAGGCACAGACCTTTGGGATTTGAAAAGTTTGCATAGATCTAAACACAACAACAACTCAGTTCTAATGCATTTTTGGAGGAACAAAGACATCCAACTTTACGCACCAGATCGCGATTTCTCATATACATATCCATTTGTGGGCAGGAATTACTATCTACAACATCAACTCTAAGATTCTCTAATACACCTGCTGGTTCCATTGGAGGCAGGGAAGAGGTCGATGGGCCTTGAATGCGCGAATATTACCACACACAACAAACAAATGAAGCATTGAAAGCGCATTTTAAAGCACTGAACTCACCTAAACTATCCATTTTACTAGGCGAAGATGAAACTCCATGAGAACTGCCGTTCAAAGGTTCATTTTCGCTGAAATCAACCTTCAATTAGAATTAAAGAGCCAATTCTGTTGATAGTAACAATTCTGGTGTCTATGTTGTTACGCTGAGAAAAAAAAAGCAAAAGCCCCTCTATCCCCTTTTTCATTTATCTTGGTTATTGGTTTCGTCTCTATCTCACTAAAATTACTAACCTTGAAGCGTTATCACCATAGAAGACAAATTTGATCAGATTGTTTAACCTTGGCACATTACCTCTTCAAGAGCATGCAAGACTAAAAATGAGTTCTCATTTCTTACCAATCTATGTTTCTCGGCAACTTTCTAAATTATCTCATCTTCTACACCAAATTTTAAATCCCAAAATCCTATAAGAGCAGACCCTTAGCCGCA